GGGGGGGGCCTGGACACGGGCCTCTGTCCATGCCCCTGCCCCTCCCCCCGTACCATAATAATGCTCATCATGCAGCAAAGGAAAACTGGTGCCACCCTATCTGGGTGTGTGGCATGCTTTAAATACATTCTAACCCTTTTTTTCTTTGGGCATTACTACACAAATGTTAACCTGTTCAAGGTCTTCAAACATGGCTACTTCACTGAGCATAACTTGTTTTGTGCAGCTCTTTGGCACCATCTAGCACTTCAGCATCTGTTACTCCTCCACATTTTGTAAGAGCCAACAGACTGCCTGCAAAGCATTGGTTATTATCAAAGGTATTCAGGTCGATTTAAATATTTCCTCTTTTTAGCAATGATCTGGGAATAGGGGTAGAGCTTATAATTCTACAACTCCCACTGCCCACACCTCTTATAATGACCACAATCAAACAGTAGTTTTTGTTACAGGTTACTGATCCACCTGGAAAAAAGGCCCAGAGACCTCTGATTTGAATTAATACCTTCTTCCTGAATATGTAACTGAGCATGGTCATCACGTAGAATCTCCAGTGGAGTTTTGCTATAATTTGTTCTACCCCTCTGCTTATAGCTTCATATAATACAGGTAACAGCACAAACTCCAGATTCATGAAATGGAACTCCTTTGTGTACCTCATGCTTCCAAAACTAGCTACTGACCACTCTTTCCTTCTCACCAGCACCATAAGCAAGCCCAGTAAATCATTCTTCACAGATCCAGAAGGAGGGAGAACATTTGAGAAGCCCTTTAAAGGGGCTTCTAAATCATATTCACCACCCTGGCTCTCTGGCTCCGTAGGATCAGGAGGAGGGGGTGCAGCAACAGGTCTTCTAAAACACCATGACTAGGGGATCTCTTATTTTTTCTCACAGGCATTTAGCCTTCCCCACACTTATTTTTAACTAGGGTCTTACTTTTTGCCCCGAAGGTTTATTACCACCACACCTCTTATGAAGTGTGCCATGACTGCTGTCCAGGTCATACAAACTATTTCCTCTCTGAACAAAATCTACCCTTTTGCTCTAAAAATAATTATGATCTTTCAAAGGACTCTGCACACTCTTTCTGCAATGTATATGTCTGTTAGCATTATTGTGCTTTCACAATAATCATGATTTTTCAAGACAAGATGGGTGCCAAAGACCCCTCTTTTGGCTTTCACAGTAATCATTATCTTTAAAAAACGAAGAACATCCTCCTCAAGTTTCTCTAATGTGTGTGAACAATCAGTCCTGGGTTTCTTTTTCCTGGGCCCCAGATCTTCAGCTCTGGAGCTGTGATTCCATGTGTTTTTACAGGTGGTTCTCTCAGAGGTAGGTGGCACAGTTTCCTCTTATGAACCATACTGTCTTTTCTTTCTTTTTGTTTTTTTACCAAGTCCTTCTGTTCTGTCTTTTTGGTCTTCTGATCCTTGGGCATGCTGAACCTCAACCTGAGCATTTTCATGTTTTTTTATAGTGCTTTTAGAGGCCTCTGACCTGGTTCCCACCCTTCTGGTACTTTTAGAAGCTGAATTTCCAAAGCAGAGGTTCCTTCTTTGGGGGTATTGCATGTGATCACTTAGGAAACATAAAATTTACAGCTCAGCATTAAGAATTCACTTTTCACAAATGCATAGTTAAGCTTCACACACTACAAATTTAAAATTTGCTTAACCCCACCCTCTATCTGTACATTCACAGGGGACTAATTCACACCCACTCAACCCCCTACACTCCCCACCCCTCCTCCTAAGCAAAAAGGTTTAACCCCTCTATCTTTATACTCACAGGGCCAATTTGCATCCACTCAAACCTCCCTCTCCGAGAAGCGCTCGCCCGCGCACACACACACAGTTTCAAAAGCTTATTTCAGAAAATGTACTTCTTACTATAGGATAAATACATGGAGGTATATGTTTGTTCTGTTTTTCTATTTTAGAAGGAGTTCTGTTTGAAAACAAAGAGTCACAGACAGTATATTATTCTCAAAAGACCAAGGGGTTAAATTTATAAAATGATAAAGCTTGTTTATTCAGAGAGCCTTCTTAGCCTACTGATCTGCTGTTCCCTCCTGCAATCCCTGGCCAATGTAACAATTTATACAGAACACTCTTAAAAGGTATCCACCCATCTTCCTCCTTTATGTGTAACACATCCACATATAATAGTTAATGCATATTTCAGTGGGTCTCTGTGGGGCTTTGTACACGATTCTGGGGCTTTAAAGTGCCTTAAATGCCCTTTTGCACTGCTTAAATGGCGTTACTGTTCATACTGTTGGCAGTGTATTATATGTTAATGGTGCTACTATTTACACTGTTGGTGGCATACTGCGTGTTAAATGACTTTGGGACATAGCAAAGTAAAACACCTCCAAGGTGTTTTAGTTTGCTATGTTACAGCCATGAAGGGAAGCACCCAGCCCCATGCAGCTCAGGGGCTGTGCAAGCAGCCCATGCAAGGATCTCCACTGAAGAAGAAAAAAAAAGCAGCAGGTCTGCCTGCTTGCCTGAATTGTGCAGGGGCCCAGTGCTTACAGCTGCGGGGGGGAGGCGGGGGGCTGGTGCTTCCCTTCATGGCTGTGGTGACCACCCAGGCCACTTGCCTTTCGGAGGGTTATGTCTGGGGGCACCACCACGGAGAGAAGCACCGGCCTCCCCGCAGCTCAGGGACCACTCGGTCCGCCACAGCATCTGCATCTGACCATTTTTTTTCAAGCAGTTCTCTTTGGCTTCTGCTTGCCTGCTTCATAGTGGGGTTCTCCTTTCTGTATTGTTTGTGTGTTGCCTTAGGTTTTTGCAGTCTTGTAATCCTGTCTAGTTCAGCTTGTTCTGTTTTTTCCTCCAGCTTCTGCAGCCTGGCATTTGTCATCTTAGCTGCTTGGTACGTTCTAACTGCCTTTTCCAAATTAAGATCAGGATCCTTTGACAGCCTTTTCCTGAGGCTTGTATCTCTTATACCTAATAATATTTGGTCTCTGATTATGGACTCTTAAGCCTCCAAAGTTGCATGTCTGGCTCAGCAGTCTGAGGTCTCTGATAAACTCCTCTATTGTCTCACATTCTTTCTGTTGCCTCGTGGAAATTATACCGTTCAAAGGTTTCATTTTGTTTGGATATACAATATTCCTCACTTTTTTTATAACTGTGTCATATGTTTTCTGTTCTACTTCTGATAGTTGTAGGCTATTATAAAGAGACAGAGCTTCTGGGCCTGCTATATTTAAAAAAAGATAGCTACCTTGAGTGGATCTTCCTTCTTTGTAGCTCCACTGGCCATCATATGTATGGCGAAACTGCTTACATTTCTTCCATTTTTATGCTGCGTTGCTGTACAGCTTTAACTCCTCTGGAATTCTGAGAGACTCCATTTTTCTGTCTTTCTTTGCACCCCACTCCTGGTACCATTTGTTTTTCTCAAAAGATCAAGGAGTTAAACTTATAAAACGATAAAGCTTATTTATTCAGAAAGCCTTCTTAGCCTTCCAATTTGCTGGCCAATGTAACAACTTGTACATAACACTCTTAAAGGTATCCACACAGGCAGTGCTATAACTTAATGTGCTTATATCAACACAGCCACAAATATTTCCTCCATTTTTAAATCAATTTTTACCTTGCTGTGGTAAAATATTGCTTGGCTTTCCCACTAGATAAGCCCCCTGTAATAAAAATCAAATAATACAGGAAGCCTGTGCAAATAGGGAACTATTCAATTTGCATTTGGATTTGGCTGATTCGGATGCCAGAGATTAAATTCAGAGATTCAAATCACTTTTCTGATTTGATTCGGCTGAATTGGCTTCAGAAGATTAAGAGCCGATTCGGAGAGATTTGGCTGTAGGGTATAATGAGGAATCAATGAAATATCTATAACTTTGTTGTTTTTTTTGGCTGATTTGGATGAAACGTGTAGGGATGGTAGGCTCTATGGAGAGCATGACGCCTGCCAGGCTTCAAGGTGACAGGTGCAGGGGTTTCTGGGAAACTGCACCTCAAAATCCTGAAGGCAAAACTCATTTTGTGTGTGTGTGTGTGTGTGTGTGTGTGTGTGTGTGTGTGTGTGTGTGTGTGTGTGTGTGTGTGTGTGTGTGTGTGTGTGTGTGTGTGTGTGG